AAGAAATAATTGATTTATTTGAATGCGTCTCATATCCCCTTTGGCAATAAATCTTGATAAGCTAATGAAATGAGTGTTTGCATAAATATGTAGCAGTCATGACTTTTCATTCCATACAATCTGCAATCCTCAAAATTAACCAACCTTGAAATGTTTAAGGCATGTTCATTAGGAAAACATAGAGTCTTAAGCTATTGGTAGACAAGTAGTTATGAATTTTTATCTTGGGCAAAGCTTGCTTTGGACTTAACAACCTGTGACCCAACATAAACCAACTTCATATTTTTACGATAATAAAACAAAATCATATTTATTATAGCCTTGATGTTATCTTTTATCTTTCCTTTTACATCTATAACCGTGTTGAACATGTTCTCAAACACGTTATTTTCTATGTGCATGATTATAACGGGAAAGATTGGTCTTCCAAAAAGGAAGCTCTTAAAAAAACTTTGCTTTATCGAATTATAGGTCAAACCGAAACTAAAAAATTTTTGCTTACCAAATTGAAAACCAAACACAATGTCAACGTACTTTGACACCATGTCATATAATTCTTCACCTGAAAGATACGATGGTGCAACATCTTTTTTAATTCTACCAACAAAGAAGTCTTTTTTGTTCTTTTTGTACTTATGATCCATTAACAAGAACTGCCAATGGTAGTAAAAAAGGCACTTTACCACCATTATTATGTGAATGCCTTGTTATTTTCCATGCAGTAACATACTAGTTTTCCATACATGCTCCAAGCAAAAATCATTTCATAAACTGAGAAATCATTGATAGTCCACATTAAAGATGCCTTCATGAGAAAATTCTTTTTCATCGATACATCATAAGTCAAAGCCCTAAATGACCACAACTACATCAACTCATCAATCAACGTCCAAAGACAAGCATATATATTCCAGCCCTTACTATTAGGACCAGATATGACTATAGATAAAAACATAAACTCTGGCCTCATACATATCCTCGAAAGCAAGTTGTAAATCATGAGTATAACCGGCCAACAAGAATAGGGAGCAGCAAATAACTCGAATAAACTGAATTTGTTTGTACATAACCCAGACACACGTTCCTTGATTCAATTAAAAAGTGAGGATGCTCATTGTTAAAGTGTTCTCATGCTTCATCATTAAAAGGGTGTACCATTACTCTATCCATCATATCACGTGATTGGTGTCATGTCATGTGTCTAATAGTTTTTAGTCACATGAATAACCTCTACAATTTAATTGTGATTGAAAAGTATCTAAATTTTTTATGTGCAACAAAGGTCTTTCCCATGCTATTTTTGGGTTTATAATAGGTATACCTATATGTTCTACACTCAGTCAGCTCAACATTTTTAAGGTAATACAACATGCAGAAGTTTAGACACATGTCAATTTTCTGGTATCCTAGATCAAGAGATTTCATCATGGACTTTACAATATAAAAATTATTTTTCAGCTTATATCATTAAGGTAAAATGCTTCTCGCTCATTTGACAATTTTGTTATAACCCACCTCACTCAACCCATAATCCAACTTGATGGTGAACACCTGTGTAACGAGCTATAATTTCCTATGATTTATACAACCATCTCATAATAGTTTGTCAAAATCTTTGAAAATATAAAAAAAATCTTGTTACGTCTGCATAACATGGATTCATTCTCAGGGCATCCATAATCAAAGTCCTATAAAAATTACTATTATTATCTACAACTCCTTATATATTGTTAATACTAGAAGTTGACCCAACCATCTTTTCTATCATGGTCTCGTAAGAAACAAATGGCTCTATATGTGCATAACAACACAAATATTCCTCCATTAACCCTTTTTGTAGAACATGCATCGTTATAACATTTGAAATAAGAAACCTTTTTAATTTTATACTTTTTGCCTGAACACCTTATACTGTCTCCACTAATATTTCTTAGATTAAATATTGCGTAATTAATAAAACCTTAAACTCTATTACAATAATTTATCCTCCACAATCTTTAGGATGAATCTTGATACATCCATGAATAATCATCCATCACTTCTACCAAACCTATATCAAATAATGATGAAAACATGTATTAATTAACTTCGTTAACTGAATAAATTTGAAAAAAAAAATTGTTTAGCTCAAGATTATTCAACCTATTTTAATATTTATCTTAATTCATTATTAATTATTTACATAGATACAAATTTGTACACATTACAGAAATCACACCTCGAAAATAAAATCAACAAAATATAAAATGAACTCATTAAATAAGTCATTATTTATTTTATCACAAAACATCTAAATTAATAATTCGATATAAGTTTCAACAATTTACAAACAAATAAAATTTTATAAAATATAAAACAAGCAAAACATGTACATTTGTAGTATAGCGTGAGCTATACACTGGCATAATTTAAAAACAATCACATATTACAAATTAACCAAAATAACCAGATGAACACAAACAAATATAATTAATATAAAAAATCAAACTCAGTAATAATGGTCTGCTATTAGTTTTTCCTGACTGGGCGGTGTTTAGCTGTTGGGTTCTGACATGGGGGAGAGGGATCTACGATTAGACATGAAGGAATGGACGTGGCTTTTTTTTTCTTTGGGTGATCTCAGCTTCTTTTGTTTTGGCCTTTGTTTTAGGGATCTACTATTTCTTAGTTGTTTTGTCCTCTAGTTTATAAAAGATTTTATAACTCACTGTGCTTACCTTTTTATCTCAATTTATTTCTCTTTCTCTATACCTTTTTTTTTTTTCTATATCTTTTCCCTTTTTTATAAAATATTTTATCTCTTCTTTATCAGAAATTAAAGTCCTATATTTATCTTGGTCCTCTTCTTTTTAATCACTATTTCACCATCTTATTATTATTATTTTAGTTTTTGAGCTTTTTTCCTTTTCAAAAACATATTTAAAAAATGGAGTTTTAAAATGGATTATGGTACGTAGTTTCCTCTCTCTTGTGTAAAGACAATGAATTTATATATATATATATATATATATATATATATATTAACTTTGTATAATAAGTTTGTGGAGAAAATTACACTGGAAAATGAAAGAGATTATTTTGGGATCCACATAAATAAAAATAAAAGGAATTAACTTGAAATCCTCTCAAATCAAAATAGAAAGGGATCTTTTTAGGATCTATGTATAGATAAAATTAAAGAATTAATTTGGAATTCAAGCAAATAAAAATGAAATAATCAACTTGAGATCTATACAAAGAAAACTAAAATGATTAACTCAGGATCTATGCAAATAAAAACATGAAAGGACAAACTTTGGATCTATAGAAATAAAACTAAAAGGATCAACTTGGGATCCACCTTAAAAAAATAATGATTAATTATAAAATTGTTTGACAATAATAGAAGTTTGATAAGAGATAAGATGCATAGTTTCATCAATGAAATTAATTTCATATTGCAACTATATTTTTTTAATATAAATATCAACACTAATAATTAATAATAATTCTTCAACATGTATGATTATGTCTTACTTTAAAAATTATCATAATTCTTCAACATCTCTTAAAAAATAATATTCATAATTAAATTAATGTGAATAATAATAACAATAACAATAATAATCATAATAATAATTAACTATCAAATAGAGAATGATAGGGTTTTTTAATCAATAATCATTGGCTCAATTATTAAAATTAAGCGCTCTTCCAATATAAATTACTCAAGCACCTTTTCCTTGTCTATTATTCCTTTTGTCAATTATTGATTCCTTTAATAACAATCTAATGTGACACAAGTAATTGATTACATGTTCCTTTGTTCATCAAAATCAAACATATTCATGGAATTTAAACACTGAAATAAAAATACAGGTAACTTTAAATATTACAAAATACATATTAAATTAAAAATATAATTAATTTTGATTTTATTATTTTAATTTTTAAATGATTAATTAAAATATTAAGCAAATTTTATAAAATTTCTCACAACATGCATAGTATATGCTATATAACATTTCATAATATTTGGTTAATGTCTTAATATATAATGAAGATAGAGAAATAAATAAATGTATTTCTATACTAATTTTGAAGTGAATTTGTATTCTTTTTGTCTTTTTTAATTAAAAAAAAGAAGTAACAAACGCAACCTTAATGCGAGAGAACTGTCCCTTTTTTTTTTAAGGATGACAGGGTTACTACATTTGTCCTCTATAAAAGCATTAAGGCAAGAGTGGTGAACGACATCAACTTCGACGCATTCAAGGGAAATCAACAAGTCACTAGACTCATTACCCATGACTCCAACGCCATTGTAATCCGGCAACCCTGGCTGCCACTTATTTGGCCGTAGGTATAGACTAATTCGGCCATAGGTATAGCCGTAGTTATATGTACCTTTCAGCTGTCACTTGTAAGCGAAGAAGTTCAAACCCGATTGTCCAAGTTTCAGAGAATTTTCACCAGCCTTTACGAATGCAAAGAAAAGTAAGAGTGCACCGAGGGGTTTGGCCTAGCGGTGGAAGGAGTTTGTCTTCTTCCACTACATATGGGTTTGAGCTCTAGCATATACGTTTATTATCCCTGTGATACTTTACATGCTTACTGAGTTTGCAAGGTATTCAGTGGACCGTGAAAAGTGGTGCGCACAAGTTAACCCGAACACCCCCGCATAAATCAAAAACAAAAAGTAAGAGTGCAATAAACAAAATTTGGTTGCCTTGGGACAGCAATGAATCCTTGTTAACTGTCGGTCTTCTTAATCGATAAAAAAATCATCAATTTCATTTCTTTACGATATCCTTAAATCCTGAGATATAGATGGTGGGCCACTAGGAAGAAATGAAGGTAATCGTTGCTATCTATCATCATCGAACAATGTCCTTTCTGTGTATCGTTTTCCAATTCAAAATTCATATTTCCCAAGTCTATAGTACTGCAATCATGCAGCTAGCCAACAGTACTTTTTTATTTTTTGAGAATGCTACAGGATGTATTTCCATAACCAGAAAGGGATTGAACAGCTTGAAAATTAGACATCATGAGTATGATCCTTGATCTTATATTTACCGGTACTAATGTACTTATTTTCCTGTTGAAGTTCTCCATAGCCCTTGACAGCATTAGTTCATCAGAATCTATGGGTGATGGAAAGACATTGGTCTCCAGAGATGGAACCTTTGAGCTCGGTTTCTTTAGTCCTGGCTTTTCCAACAATAGATACTTGGGAATATGGTACAAGATCATCCCAGATAGAACCACTGTTTGGGTTGCAAACCGGCTTCATCCTATCAATGATTCTTCTAGCTTGTTAAAGATAGACGACACCGGAAATCTTGTAATTCTCAGAAATAACAGTGATATTGTTGTTTGGTCTTCAAATACAACAATAAAAGCTCAAAGTCCAATACTACAACTTCTGGATTCCGGGAATCTGGTCTTACGAGACAAAAATGATGGAAATAATGGAATCTTATGGCAGAGTTTCGACTATCCATGTGATACAATGTTACCAGGAATGAAGCTTGGGTGGGACTTAAGGACAGGATTTGATCGGTATCTTTCATCTTGGAAGAGCTTGGATGATCCATCTCCTGGAGACTTTACTTGGGGGGTGCAACCAGAGGGTAACCCTGAGATGGTAAGCTGGAAGGGCTCAAGCAAGTACTACCGGAGTGGCCCATGGAATGGAATTGGATTCAGTGGTGCCCCAGAGATAAGGCCTAACCCATTTTTTAGTTTCAGTTTTATCTCAAACGACAAGGAACTGTACTATACATATAATCTCAATAATAAATCTATAATCACCAGGATAGTTTTGAACCAAACAACGTATCATCGTCAGCGATACATATGGAGTGAAGAAACTCGAAGTTGGATTCTATATGTTTCCGTGCCGAGAGATTACTGTGACAATTATGGTCTTTGTGGTGCAAATGGAAAGTGCATTACTAGTGCCATGCCGGTCTGTCAATGTCTAGAAAAATTCAAGCCAAAGTCACCAGAGGCATGGAACACAATGGACTGGTCTCATGGGTGTAAGCGAAATAAGGAATTAGAATGTCATAATGGTGATGGGTTCATCAAATTCGACGGGCTCAAATTGCCGGATGCTAAAGATTGTTGGGTCAACAAAACTATGAATCTCAAGGAATGCAGGGCTAAATGCTTACAAAACTGTTCTTGTACGGCGTATACAAATTTTGATATTAGAGGAGGAGGCAGTGGCTGTGCTATTTGGTTTGGTGATCTGATGGATATCAGACAGGTTTTGGCTGGAGGCCAAGAACTATATATTCGGGTGCTCGCCTCAGAAATAGGTATGTGAATAAGCCACTGAAGTTAAATCATTTCCTTGATCACAGCTTCTTTAGCGGATTTCTAACTATATATTCTTCATTTAACATTATCAAAGCTGACCGTGAAGAGGCTAAAGCTAAACCTAAAATGAAGATTGCAGTGATAACTACAGCTACCATTTTCGTGGTCTTGGGGATACTAGCGGCCAGCTATTGCCTCTGGAAAAGCAAGGCAAAGTGTTCAGGTAAGTTGCTTAGACACTTTCACTAAATTAATGATCATCTGGTTTGCTTTAAATTTATATTAGGGTTTTTAATGAATGGAAACAATAAATAGTTTGAACAATTTATTCGTACATGGTGGACAAATTTTCGTGTATCCTGTGAAAGAAATTTGTTAAATGTTCCTCGATCAGTAGAATTTTAGCACCGAAAATAACATGTTAGCAGTGCCAGCTGCTGTATTTATTGCCATGAAAGGAGCCAATTTACCTGAATCAGTACAACAGTTGGACTATCAACACTCTTTCTAGCTATAAGCATTGATGTTTGGCATCGCATTTCATTTTAGTATCAATTCACAGACGTCATCAGCTAAATAGGATTGATCTAATGTTCTGATCATTTTCAGCTCATCTAAAAGTTTATTTCCCTGTTCTAGATAGAATGGAAAACTACAGGAAAAATGATCATGAGATCGATGATGGACAAAAGGAAGACTTGGAGTTACCACACTTTGAGTTCACAGCAGTAGCTAATGCCACCAACAACTTTTCAATCAACAATAAGTTGGGAGAAGGCGGATATGGACCTGTCTACGGGGTAAACATTATAAATATTTAGCAAACTTACTACAAGAGAACCTAGGCATTTTGTTTCATGCAGAACAACACAAGTATTTTATAAACTTTATCTTTTAGGGTATGCTAGAAGATGGACAAGAAATTGCTGTGAAGAGGCTGTCAAGGAGTTCCGGGCAAGGATTAAATGAGGTCAAAAATGAAGTGATACTGATGAAAAAGCTTCAGCACAGAAATCTTGTGAAGCTTCTCGGTTGCTGCATTCAGAGAGAGGAGAAAATGCTGATTTATGAATACATGCCCAACAGAAGCCTGGACTCCTTCATTTTCGGTAAGGACCCCTAGTAACCTAATAAACTTAGTTGGCCTAAAAATGAAAAGAGGTGTTATAGGTTTTTTGTTGCTATCGAATTTGTTGTTTTGGTATTCAAATAGCAGTTTGGCCTGATATGAAAACATGACGTTGTTAGATCAGGCAAAAGGTAAACTGCTAGGCTGGTCCAGGCGTTTCAACATTATCTGTGGGACTGCAAGGGGGCTTCTCTATCTACACCAAGATTCCAGATGGAGAATCGTACATAGAGATCTCAAAGCAAGTAATGTCTTACTTGATAATGACATGAATCCAAAAATTTCTGATTTTGGTTTGGCTAGAATGTTTGTGGCTGGCCAAACTGAAGGCGAGACAAGCAAAGTGATCGGAACTTAGTAAGACATCTGATCCATGAGCTAGATTTAACATTCATATACTAGCATTTATGTGCTCTTATTTTAATGGCTTTCTGCAGTGGTTACATGGCGCCAGAATATGCTACTGATGGTCTATTCTCAGTGAAATCTGATGTCTTTAGTTTTGGTATCTTACTGCTTGAGATAATAAGTGGAAAGAAAAGTAGAGGGTTTTACCATCCAGACAATAGTCAAAGCCTTATTGGACATGTAAGTATTGAGGGTTAAATTGCTTTGTTATATGTGATGAGTTAGAGAATGACAAAAAGTCCTTCGTATGTGTTAGGCATGGAGATTGTGGAATGAAGGCAAAGCATTAGATTTGATTGACTCACTGAGAGATGAGTCACACAATCCGTCAGAAGTGATGAGATGTATACACGTTAGCCTCCTATGCGTGCAACAACATCCAGATGACAGGCCATGCATGGCCTCTGTAGTATGGATGTTGGGAGGAGAGAGAGCATTGCCTAAGCCCAAAGAACCTGGTTTTCTTAATCACAGAAGTCCGCACGAATCAAGTTTCACTTCCAGCAATTTTGGATTATCTTCAACCAATAAAATTACCGCCTCACTCTTAGAGCCTCGGTAGCAAATTGCCGAATCAAATTTTCACCAATTTCATAAAGTGTAGAATGTTAGACTTATATGGCTTTATCTGATTAGCTAGACTGGAATTATATTAAGGTCCTGTTGAAAACTTTGGAGCTGGATGATCAATTGTTCTTATTGTGTTACTGAATTAGGTTCAGTTTTCCATATATATATATGCGTGCATGCATGCATTATGGTCTTAAGATTTTATTAGTGTACTAATGTGTATACAATGCCATTGGTTACATGATTCTCACATTGTCAACAATGTTAGGGTGGTTTCACAATTCTCAGAACGCCATTAGTTTTGCAGATAATAAGCACCATAACTTATGTTTAATCAACCAATTAATAACACTAATCTAATCTTAGCTAAACCACAAGTGATGTAGCCGGGCAGGAAGAAAGTGAATGTTTTGAGCAGTCAAATAAAGATCTGCCACTGTTTGATGGGATCTACACTAACAAATCATGCAGATAGGATATATTTAACGACCAGTGGAACGAAGTTAAGCCCAATAAGAAATCAAGTCATGATAGACCAATAATCATAACTTTTGATCAGATTATTGGATCAAATTCAATTTTTTTTCAAGTGATTTTAAAGGCCTCGTTCTGCAGTGGTATCAACATCATTGTACTAGCCAGTTTAGTATTTTTTTTCTTGATTTTTCTGGATTTTTTGAAGTTCTCAGTTCAGAACAATTTGTAATCTTTCTAAAGGGATTGTTATTTTCCAATAAATTTATGTTCTGTTCTTATGTTTCCCTCTAGAAGGTCTACCCTGCGAAGTTCATATGTAAAAGGGTTATAGAAGACTATAGGCTCAGATATAATTGTCTTGGATTTGCTCTGAATTCTGATGTTAGGAAATGGAAAATTGATAGAGGTCAGAATCAGATTGATTTTCAAAGCTAATTTGGTGTTCACATTTCTGTCATTGAATTTAAGGTTATTCACCAGGAATAGCATTTGAAGGAATGCCAGTCAGGGTCTTAGCACATAAATATAGCAAAAAAAACAGAGACTATAATGGGATTAGTAGTTTTTAAAACAATTAATTGTTAATGAATTATCTATAACAACAGGCTCAATTCATAAAAGTATAAGGAAAATAAATGAAACCATAGTTTTTAGGAAATAAATTGAATGAAAATTGCATTTGTTATCCCAAAAAAAACAAAGCAAGGCCATAATCAAAATATCATAACCTGATGGCAGTTAAAGCAAGGCTACTGCAATGCTTTTTTATTGTTTTGTTGAATTTTAATCGTTACTTTCAATTTTTTTGCTCAATTTCAATTGAATATATAAGATTAAATTTAATTAAACAAAATTCTTTTCAATTTAGGATTAAAAAAATTATCATGTAGAAATGAGAATTTTCTACAAAATTAAATTATTCAAAATTATTGGTAGAAGTAAAATAAAATTAACTGGTTTGTGGCATATATATTGTCTATTTGTAGGATTAAAAATTTTGAGTAGTTTCTTATGTAGGAGAGGTGCTACCAAATTTTTATAAAGAAAAATTAAAATTCTTTATTTTTTTCTGTAACTTTTTATAGATGCATAAGAGAAAATCAGTTGCACATCGTGAGCACAAGACCACTGCTAGCTAGTTCTTCTAGTAGCAATGATGACAATAACATATCATTAGGTGCCGACAAGTAAGAGGCACTTGAAGCACATGCGTCGATTCATGACGCTGCCTCTTCAAGTGTGATGTTGCAACGCAAGGTTTGATCCCTTCACAACTAGATCTATTCACCTGAAAGTATAAGGTGTAGTGGAAGGATGACCTTTCAATGTAAGTTTGTTTTGCTTTGAGTTGGCTTATGTTTAACAATTTATAAACAAATAATAGTTCATTAAATTTATCAATTTTCAGGTTCACAAATATTAAGGTGACCCAAATATCATTGGCATTTAAATTGTTGATAGAAATTCCATTGTTTTAATAGAGCCAGGCTTTCAAATATCTTGAATAGAAACAACAAGTCGATGCATGGTTTACAAGATTTAAGGTTAGTATTATCTTAAGATTTTTACTATTTATTATGATAATTCGTTTACTTTATTGAAATGATTGAAATTTTTATAATCATAATTTTTTACTACAAGGCTAAATTTGAGTGAGATAGAGCAAGCAATAATGTTGCGAAGAGGGTTTAAAAGAATCACGTTGCAACTAGGTAACATTGGAATTTGGATAATTTTTTTAATTCCAACTATTAAAATTTCATTTATCATTTACTTATATATAATACGTTTGTATCATATAAATTGCATGATTTTTGATACGAGGTGCAAAAAAAATAAAAAAAATATGCTAGAGAAAGTGCTCTATCAGGTTAGAATAACGACCGTTTGGAAGGATTTCAAGTTGTTATACATCTCAGAGAATATATGGATGGAATATATTCAGCATATAACGTCCAAGCATTTCACACGACATTTATAATTCGGTATGGAAACTAGAGCTGATAAATTCACAATTCGGATACCACACACCGATGGCTCTATTTTGTTCATTTCGTATGGGATATTTTAGTCACAACTATTTTTAATTAATTTATTGTTATTTATAAATATAGTTAATTGACAATATTTTTACCTTATACGCTACGACTCTTGGGTATGAGCCAAACCCAATAAAGCTTTTTATGGAAACTCACGTGTGGAGTAATGATGGCAAAAAAGGATAGCAGTTCATTGACAACCGAGCTCAACACTTTTATAGTACATTGGTTATCAATCATTTTCTTTATTATTTTCTTGAATTTGATGATTTTTTTAGGAAGATATATAATAGCCAATTGAAATAGAGATACGAGAACAATTATTCGATTCAAATTTGTGGTTAGAGGCAGGATTGTCCAGTGGACCTGATAAAAATTGAGTGTACAAACTCTCTAACACTACAACCAAGAACTTGTAGACGGCTCACAGTGTTTCAACCGTTGAGAGCTCACAATCGATATCAAGCAATCAATATTCAGAGTTTGTGACCTTGATAGATCAAGGAGTGCAAGAACAGATGACCCGTCTCAATGAAAATACAAACAGCTCTCTATGAGTTATGAAGAACTTCATCGAATAGTCATGGAATTAGATCACAGATGGATGACATAAACATGCGCCCCTTTATTGGCCTCACTGTCCCGGGATAACCAACCTTCTCCTCCTCCTCTAACACCCTATTTGCTTTAGTTTCATTATATTTGAATATATAAATTTGTAATAAATATTTAGTTTTTATATAATTGAAAATCTTTTCCTATTTCTTTACAAATTTGTGGGGCTAGAGGCAGGTTGTGACATGCAATAATGTTGTCTTTTTGAAATGAAGGGCATCTGAGAAGGATTTGTCGTTTAATATTATATTCACCAAAAAATCTATAATTTAGAAGAATCTAAATAAAAAAAATTAGATTTTTAGGGAATATTTGTTTTCTAGAAAGTAGTTTTCAAGAAACCACTTTCTCAACTTTTCTATATTTATTTGTCATCTGACAAAATAATTTCATTGGTATATTTCAGAGAATTGAAAAAGAATTACTGCAAATGCTACTATAAATCACCGATGGAATTATTCCATCGAAATATTCCAGTTGATAATTTTTTTTTAACGTGCATTATGTGCCTGTAAAGCTATCGATAATTTTTTTTATTAACGGCAGATTTATTAATAGACTAGAAATTACTGATGAGGTTTTTTATGACGGTCGGTTTTCATCCATGAATCTATTTATAAAATAATTATCAATAAAATATTAGAGTAAGTATTGATATAATTTTTTATCAGGAAAACTTTTAAATGAAAGGATAAAAAAAAAAAACTCTAAGGATGAAAACAATAGTAAATTCACAGTAATTGATCGAGGCAAAATAATTAGTTGGTAGTTAATGTTGGACGGGAGTTAAATCCAAAGCAAGTTTCCAGCTTCCATGTCTTCTTTTGTTATTCATAATTCATTCTTCTATACCAACTCTAATTGCGTGTATGACAATCTGTTTAATGAAAACAATTTTCACATTACTTTTAGCTGAAAAAGATGACTTCTGATGAAAAAACATTATTGGATGGAAAGACTTGACCTTTCGAAGAAATGGCCCCAAAGAAAATCTCTTTGAAATGGAAAAAATAAAATAAAATCACATCTACAAATAATAGTCGCGATGGAAAGGCATGATAGAAAACTCCTCACAATTTAATTTGAGATGGAAAGATATGACTAATATTGAACAAATTTATTAGATGAAAAGACATGAATATTTAAAAAAGAGACACAAAGTAATTCTTTGAAAAAAAAATATATTCTAAAAATATATACATTCAAGATGGCGAGGCATAAAACATCATCAAGAATCCTTATAATTTAATATATTTGTTTGGAATTATAGTTAATGTTATGATTTAAAGTATTTTTTGTTTATAAATGTATTAAAATAATTTTTGAAATTAAAAAATATAAAAAAAATTATTTTTAAAAAAAGTTAAATGTTTTTTTTAAATATGGTCCGCGTTTCTAAAAGTGCCAAAGAGTCCAGTCCAACTTTACATACCATACGACTATATTTAATATTAAATATTGCATGTAAAATCAATTACAAGAACAGTAACAGAGGCATTTGGTCAAAAAAATGCAGCTTTATGAACAAGGAAAACGTAGGAAAATTGCTGAACATCATGGGAGGTGGCAGAGCCTATACCATCCTTAAAGCGACAGCCAATTTGGCAATGTCATCCTTGTGGCGTGGGCCTCTATGAGATATCATGAAGAGTGATAATGGAGTTTTCTCACCATCCAAGGAAATGCCCATCATTTTATTTTTTATTTTCTGGGTTTTATTTTACTCGCAATACAAAAAAGTTACCCAACTTGTTAGAAATAAGGGCCCATGAAATTATGGCGATATTCGGCAGGCAATTTTTGTATTTGTGCTTGAAGTTTCTGATGCACCCCACCTCCCCTGTAACCCTTGTGATTCTCAATTATAGCTTTTTTTCTAAGAACAAAATGGGGATTAATTAAGATCCTTAATTAATTTTCATTTCTGTACACGTGTCTTACTATTTTCTTATTAAAACATTTATGTTTCATACTTATTAACTGTAATGTATATAAAAGATTGTCTTATATGTTTTTTTTTAAAAAGACTC